GGCTTTTGTGACAAATACCCGTGCAGCGCCAGAAATCGACGAAAATTGGTGGGGCCGGTGGGGCCCTCAGAATGACTGGTGTATAGAGCCGACCCAGGGCCGCCGGTGTGGAACCTTAAGAGGTACTGACTGGCGTGGGACCATCAAAGGTATCGGTGTGGGTTCCCCAGAGGCAGTGGTGTGGGGCCCTCAGAGGCACTGGTGCAGGAACCACAAAGGAGCCGGTGTGGGCCCTCTAAGGTGCTGGTGTGAGGCCCTCACATGGACGCCGTTGTGGCGTCTCAGCCCTCAGACACTGGTGTGGCGCTAAGCCCACACCATTCACAGATGGCTGTGTGTGGGGCCCTTGGAGTTTTTGGTGCGAAATGCGAATGCTTAATAACCCAGTAGGACCTCTCAGAGACCGACAAAGGGCCCTCAGAGGCCGGTAACGGGCCGTATGATGCCAACAATGGGCCTTCACAGGCCGGCAAGTGAGGGCCGGCAGTATCTTCAGGAGCCCTGTGGAGTCCTTAGAGATCGGCGTGGTACTCTCAGACGCCGGTGGGGCCCTCAGAGTCACCGGTGTAGGACCTACAGAGTTACCGGCGGCTGGCTGCCAGAGGCACTGGTGTGGGGCCCCAGAGGCGCCGGTGTGGGACCCTCAGAGTCGCCGATGCACGGTAGGCGATCGGGCCGGTCTAGCCTCGCGAAACCTCAAAGACACTTTTTTTCCGAAAATTGGAAAACAACGCATACTAGTCGACAGAAAATTCATCAAATATTACGATTAGTGCATTTGCATGGCTCAGGAGACATTTTTTCGTAGACAAAAGTACCGTTAAAGACAGCGTTCCGTAACACTTCATAAGGGGGATAATCACAGCCGATTTTTACGCTCTTTGAATATTTTGCGGAACGATGAAATTGCTAGGTGTTGAGCATCCATTTTGCATGGAAAGTGAAATTTAGATGTTTAGACGATTCCGCCATAGAAAGCAAGTAGACAAAATCAGTTCAAAATGTCTTATAATTAGGTTAACTTTTTATATTTTTTCTACCACCGAACATTACGTTTACTGAATTAACCAAGCCCAGCAAAAAAAGTTTTACGAGGATGAACTGAAAACAATGCTGTATCGCATGCACTAAGACACTATCTATTAGGGGAGCCTGTGAAAATTTGCAGCTTCTTGCAGCCCTGGCATCCAGACACCTTTTTATTCTAAGGGTTGGCCGTGGCTTGGTGCACTTGAGCACAAGTGGTAAATGCCACAAAGGGTGTTTTCGCGATAGCTCAAAACACCCAGGCAATAGAGAACTGCAACTTGGCATACCTGACCTTTGATGCACGCCAAATCTTGTGACACCAACCGCACTTTCAAGTCAGGTCAGGTCACTGACCTATGACGTCATAAATGAACCTCTGCACGATCCTCAGATGTCGCAACCTTGCAACGCTCTCAGTGCCAGAGTAACTTTCACAGGGAAGTGAGACTTGCAGGACTTATTGTCCTTTAGAGGTCTTACAACTTTTATATCTCAGATTTTTCCTAAATGTCACATAAAGTCAGGTTGGTCACGTGACCTCGCCTATAAGTCAATGGGGAAATATGAAAACTGTTATTTTGGCGCCAGGGATGATATTCAATTGTCTCAAGTACATGGAATCGTTACTTCATGCACTCCTTGCAAGATCTGATGCTGCATTTTTGCATTGTTGACCTTGCATGACGTCATTTATGACGTCACTAGGGTCATACGAGTTTTTCGTCAATAACTCCCGATCAAATTGAGCTAGAGAGTCGACAAGGTCACCAATGGACTCCGGAAGACCTGCCGAATCGAATGATATGCGATATGACCTCCTTCGACCAACTTCGTGATTTGAAGACCTCTGACCTGACCTTGACTCGAGGTCAACACCTTACGGTGGCCTCACCTGAACAAAAAGTATACCATTCGACGCGCCTGAGCAAGGCGAACACGACGATGTCAAAATCGTGGTTCTGCGGCCATTTTTTGCGAAGTTATTTACCAAAAACCAAACCCGCTGCTTGAGTCACGGTATGAAATGGGGCCTTGCCGGGCGAGCTTTACGCTGTTTCATGATATGTATAAATTGGTAGGGCATAATCGTTTGAATAAAAAGTTGGTTTGGAAGCAATTTTCTACGGAGGTACACACCATTTCAATGTCCTACCCAGCTCATATCGTCATAAATTTCGACCTACCCTCAACAAAACTATTCATGCGTTATTCGAGCGGCAATTAGGCAAATTGCAAGCTCGCCACAGAGCACAAATCCTAAAAGAGATAGTCCTTATTTAATACATATGCTCATTGGATATTCAAGAAGGTTGCTCCTAAATATTGTGGTTCTAGCTTCAAAAACATGGATGTTATGAATGCCGATAGGTTACGCGAGGCTACACCGGCCGGATCGCCCACTGTGCGATGTGGGGCCTCAGGAGACACTGGTGTCTCAGAGGTGGCGGTGTAGGGCCCTCAGACGTGTCTGTGTGGTGCCCTCACAGTCGCCGGTGAAGACTTTCAAAGGCATCGTTGTGGGAGTCCTCACTCCTCAGAGACACATGCATGGGGGCGAGGGGTCTTCAAGAGACCAGCAAGGGCCAGCAGAGGCCTTCAGGAGCCCTGTGGGATCCTGGAGACCGGCGTGGTATAATCTCAGGCGTCACTGGGAGCCCTCAGAGTCACCAGTGTGGGGCCCACAGAGTTGCAGGTAGGTAGCCGTCAGATGCGCCTGTGTAAGACCTTCAGAGGCGCAAGTGTGGGGCCCTCATAGCCGCCGCCGTTGTAGGGCCTTAAGCCTCGCCCGCACATGCCATTTTCCCATCCTAGAACGCACATGGGGGGGGGGGTTGCCACCCCCCCCCGCGCCATTTCGTTCCTGTTGGAGATAGAGCTTAGCGGTAAAGACCAAAAAGATTCTTCGGGAAGAGACGAATCCAATGATACCCAGTTTTACCTTCTCAGGTCAGTCATTGACCTTCCAGGTCAGGTCAAACAAACAAAAATGTTGCTGTTTTGGGTCACCGTTGGATATCAAGTGCGCTGCTTATCATATACCGATGACGATGCTGTTTTCTGGTGCCAAGCCAGCTAGAACCTCTTTGTCACACTACCCGACCAGATTTTTGCTGCTGAGGTCATTTCAGGTCAAGTTAGGTCAAGGTCAAGCATATGTCTTTGTATGTCTGTGTGTGTCTGTGTGTATACTGATGTGTGCACCGATTGTTTTTGTGTCCATATTACATGAAATCATGATCTGAGAAGCTTTTACCAAAATGCAGTCAAAAAACTTCAAAAAAAGTAAATTCAGCTTGCCTAAAACGCAATTATCTTAGATGACCTAGGTTGACCTTGACCCTGACCTTGACACCTGTACATCGTCGGACAACATGTTCCATGATAGGTGGGAGGTAAGACTGGCAAACGAGGCCGAAATCAAGGTGTCAAAAGCTCACAAGGCCCAGGGCAAACGCAAGGTGTTGAGAATTGGCCATTTGGGTCATGACATGACCTGAAAAACAAGGTCATATCTCCGAAACCAAAAATCACAGAAACTTGAAATTTTCAGTGGACATCAAGAAAGAGTAGAGGAGCAGCTATACGAAACATTAGTCTTCTAGCTCTAAAAATGTTGAGTGCAGAGGAGAAAGACTACCTGGGGGGGTGGCAACCACCCCCCCCCCCATGTGCGGGCGAGGGTTAAGAAATATTGGTGTTAGTCCCTCAGATTGGCGGTGTTGGGCCCTCAAAGGCGCCGGTGTGAGACCCTCACAGGCGCCGTTATGGGCCCTCAGAGACACTGGTGTGGAGCCGTTCCATGCCGGTATGGGCCAGGACCCTAATTAGAGCTGACGCTTAAAAGGTCAGCAAGGTCACTCAGAGGCCAGCACAGGGCCCTCAGAAGCCGGAGTGGGGCCCTTATGGAGATGTGTGATGTGTGGCGACTCAGGAACCCGTGACTCCGTGAGGTGCTCTCACGAGTCCTGCGGGTCTTATCTTATCTCAGTCGAAATAAGGCACGCTTGGACCCTGAGCGGCCAATTGGCACTGCAGGGCCTCTCGGGCCCATAGGGCACCATGCATCTAATGAGGCGGCACGCGCCCCCTGTGCCCCCCCCCCTGGTTACGCTGCGCTGGCTGCGGCCATACAGGTAAATCATATTCTAACCGTTCCTATTCCCAAGCATAGGCGGCGGCCGATTCCTGGTTTGCGCAATATGAGTGCCATCGTTAGACAATACGGTCAAAAGGGTTGAAGCGGCATGACTCCCCTGTGGTAAGAACTAAGAAGCAACATATTTTTAGCAGGGATGCGGAGCCGGAGCCGGAGCTGGAGCCGGAGCCGCCGGAGCCGGCATATTTTGCCCGGAGCCGGAGCCGGAGCCGTCAAAAAAGGGGGCGACTCCGGCTCCTTTTCTTAAGAGGAAACAATTATTTACCTGGTTCGGTTTGACAGTACAAGGCGTAAAACAATGAGGTATTCAAAATAGCCTTGTTATACAAATACAGAAGCAACGTGTACCAATCCCATCGCCTTTTTTTCTTCCACCAGTATTTAATTGATCTCATAGGGGATGTACTGAGTAGAAGCCGGAGCCGGATCATTTTGCTCGGAGCCGGAGCCGGAGCCGGAGCCGCCATGACATTTCACCCGGAGCCGAAGCCGGAGCCGGAGCCGATTTTTTTCTCCGGAGCCGGAGCCGGAGCCGGAGCCGTCTGAAATTTCCACGGCTCCGCATCCCTGATTTTTAGACAAAATAAAGCAATGACAACTAAATTGAGGTTACTAAAACGACTCTGATCACAAAAGTAGTTACTAGGAAGGCTTTCTAATCCATTTTTATTTAGTTCCTCGTTATAGGCGTATGAAGTGTAAGTCTGAACGGGGGGGGGCATACTTGTACTGAATGCCCTCCCCAGGCTCCTGTCGGGGGGGGGCATATGCCCCTAATGCCCCCCCCCTGGATCCGCCAGTGGTCGTGTGTCTGATGATTGCCGTGCTCGGACAGCTGGTGGCCGTCTACGAGGTGCTGCGTGATCCAGGGCGCCGCCAAATGTACGATTCGTTCCTGGTGGAGGGAATGCCCGACTGGCGCTCGGCACTCTACTACTACCGGCGCGCTAGGAAGATGGGCATGCTGGAGATCGTCGTCATCCTGTCCATCATCACGACGGTCGGACAGTACCTGATCGCCTGGGCCGGCTACAAGGAGAGACGCTACGCAGTGGTACGTAACGCACGGAGCCGGCATGTATGTATGTATGCATGCATGTATGTATGACACGATTTGGTAGCAGAGTAATGACGTCAGCTGGGTTTGAAGTTTTCCCTTCACCATAGGGTTTACACACAAACTGGTCAAAGTTTGAGCCAGGATTTACTAGTCTAGAAATGCAAAAAGCGATCAAATTTTGGCATCAATAGATTCACTGTTTCATTCTGTGTCTCAACACGTCCATCGTTTGGCCTCAAAGAAGGTAAAAAGTGTTCAAAATCGAAGTTGAAAAAGATGCTATCCAAGCACAGAATCTGGTAGCATCACGTGACTTGCCTTGAGCAGTTTATTGATTATAATTTAATAATATAATTAACAATTTTCTACTTAAAACAATATTAAGATGAGAATGAACCTGATTAAAAGGCACAGAGTTGTATTGATCATTTAGTAACATTTTTCAAACGTTTCTTCTCTTAACAGAGACATCATCAGTGATTGAGTGATTCGTTACATTTCGATACATAGTAACAAGCAATCAGCGCGGTGAGCGAGTCGGCACAGTATCGCAAGTCTAATTCAAAAATTCACAAACACACTAAACAAATCATACGCATCATTTCATAATGACCCCCTAGGTGACAATATTAAGTTTAACAGCGGAACTCTTATCATTGAGAGTCGGTTTTGTTTTGTGAATATATAAAGATTCCAAAAATCTCAACTGAAAACTAGACCTTTCCATGTCAATAATTTGAAAGTCATCTAATGAGAAAGGAGTGTCACAAGCTAAGGAGTGGTCCCTTACTGAAGATGCGACGGGACAAGTTAAATGGGTTCCAGTTCTGTCGGACTTTCCTTGATGCTGGCATACTCTAGTGCATAATCTTACATAGGTGGACCCTATGTAGGTCCCCTCACACGAGGGGCAACTGAATTTATAAATGACACTAGATCGGCAAGCCTTAGGGACAACGTCTTTGAACCGAAACAGGGAGCCTATGCTTAGTTTGTTGCGTAGCACTGGCCTGGGGTTCATGTAGGGATAGTACTTTTTCAGAAGTGATTCTACTGCTTCTTTTAGTTTTAGTGACTGTTTCCCGAAATAGGGAAGAACAAAATATTTTTCAAGTTTTTCTACGTGGTACGTCGAGACCTTGGGCGTAAACCGTTTGTTCAAAAACTTGGAAATCGCTGAGTCAATAAGAGCCTTTGGGTAGCCATTTTCTGTAAAGAACTTACGGAGGAAGCTGATCTCCATATCAAAAAGTTTGAAAGACGAGCTAATGTTATAGGCGCGATAGATGGCAGTGTTTAGGATGGCTTTCTTAATAGAGAGAGGGATGTAGCTAAAAAAGCTAAGACCGAGGCCAGTGTATGATGGCTTGCGATAAACGGATGTTTCTAGCGAGTTTCCAGATCGTCTTATCCGGACATCTAAAAAAGGAAGTGAGCCGTCTGATTCGACCTCCTTGGTAAACTTCATTTTTGGATGCTGACCATTCAAAAAATCGAGGAACTTATCCACATGTGAAATGTCATTGAAAATCAAAAAGCAATCATCCACATACCTCTTGTAGTATGATGGATGAAATTCTGACGGGCACGTACTTAACCATTTTTTCTCATGGAAACACAGGAAGATGTTAGCAAACGTTGGACCTAAGGGTAGACCCATACCCACACCATCAGTCTGTCTGTACAGTTTACTGTTGAACAGAAAATAAGAGTTTGACACAGCTAAGTCAAGCATATGCTTGACTTAGCTGCATATGCAGCTACATCCCTCTCTCTATTAAGAAAGCCATCCTAAACACTGCCATCTATCGCGCCTATAACATTAGCTCGTCTTTCAAACTTTTTGATATGGAGATCAGCTTCCTCCGTAAGTTCTTTACAGAAAATGGCTACCCAAAGGCTCTTATTGACTCAGCGATTTCCAAGTTTTTGAACAAACTGTTTACGCCCAAGGTCTCGACGTACCACGTAGAAAAACTTGAAAAATATTTTGTTCTTCCCTATTTCGGGAAACAGTCGCCAAAACTAAAAGAAGCAGTAGAATCACTTCTGAAAAAGTACTATCCCTACATGAACCCCAGGCTAGTGCTACGCAACAAACTAAGCATAGGCTCCCTGTTTCGGTTCAAAGACGTTGTCCCTAAAGCCCGGTTCCCACTGGGCCCGTCACCCGTCGAAACGGGCCCGTCGCCGTTGACGGGCCCGTTTACGGCCCGTCCCTGACGGGCTCAGTGGGAACCGGGCGGCGAGGCCACATGACGGGGCGCAACAGCTGACTGCGACGGGCCCGTCGCCGTCGGAGCCCGTTTCGGAGACATGAAAATATTCATGTTTTGGTGCGGAACGGGCCCGTTTTTCGTGTCGGTGCTGCTGTGTTCCTTCTCATTTTACGTGTGAGTATGGTTTGAACGAGGTTGTAGATGACTGTAAAACATGTAAAACTGATTATTTCAGTAAAATAGCGTAGAATGTGGTACATTTTGAAGAGAAATTGTCGTTACACTCCTCTAGCAATGCGCCGCTCTGGTAAGTACATATGTCGGTCTAGCCATGAGGACAATGCTCAAATTTAACAGCTCAAACAGGAGTATTATACACTTCCCCCCCCCCCCCAGCACAATATTACATTACTGATCATCCAGCGGTTTGGATGGAAATGTGATGGTATTTTAGGTAGCCAATTTGATTGGAGTGTGGTCCTGTCTGGAAAATATTATGATAGTAGGTGTTTGAAATTCAAGCAAACCTGTATTTGTCCAGTATGTTCACTTCACGTGCACACTGCACCAAACCTCTCGCCAAACTGACCCCTCGCCGCCGGAAGGCGGTAAGGGGGACGCGGCCGCTCGGACAGACCCCCACAGCGAGACGCGGCACCGCCGCGTGTTCCAGGACGGCCCGCCGGACCCGGGACGGACTCCCCACAGCGAGCCGCCGCGCCGCCGGCCAGCCGGCCTCCCCGTTTCCCAACACTGCGCGTAGAACGAATCACGCGCGCCGTTTTTGTCACGACAAGTGCTACCATATGGCCCGTTTCATGGCTACCATATTCAACTTGGGAAAAGCGGCCTTCAAAACGGTCGGTGACGGCGACGGGCCCGTTTCGACGGGTGACGGGCCCAGTGGGAACCGGGCTTAAGGCTTGCCGATCTAGTGTCATTTATAAATTCAGTTGCCCCTCGTGTGAGGGGACCTACATAGGGTCCACCTATGTAAGATTATGCACTAGAGCAGGGGCGGGCAAACTTTTTGGAGCGCGGGCCGGGTGTTGCATTTGTGAGCAACTGGGGGGCCTGAGTGCTAAGCTCGCCAGAGTTGCGTTTGTCAATGACTAAAATGGATGCTGTTGCTATGACGCGACTGACTAACGACGGGCAATGACTGTCTCATGACAGAGACAAATACCTATAGTTACACTTACAAACGAATGACTTTTGACCCATGGCAACCGTACTAAAAATCAAACCTGCTTTTGTAAAATGCACAGACACACTAGGAATCATAGAAATAACGACTCACCTTATTTGAGAAGTACCTCAAGAAGCTGGAGACGGCGGGCTACCTTGATGTTTGTGTTTAGTTTCTTGGTTTATGCCGCAAAACTTTTCTCGATCGTAAGAAGACAAAATACTTTGTGATTCACATGCAATCTGTATTGAAACGATACTCCACGTCACTCCCTTCATGCTGTCCCAGAAAGGTACCGGAATGCGTCGCCGTCCTTCGATCTCCGCACCCTCGTTTTTAGTGCGAAGGGTGTTGCTGCTTCCTGCCGTGAAGAAGCCCTTCGACATTCGGCGCCACAGATGTCGAGCTCAGCCTGAGGACGTCATTCAGGTGACGATCAGACAGTCTGGATCGGAGGCGGGACTTCACGTACTTCATTTTGGAGAACAGCTGTTCGCAGCAGTATGTACGTGCTACCGAACATGGCAGCGATGCGTTGGACGTGCGATTTGTAGTTGGGATATCCGCCAGTGGGGATAATGACATCGCGGAAGAAGGGCAGAGGCGAAGAGGTTCGGAACTTTCCTCTGAGTTCATCACTGCTTTGGAGTTCCACCGACTCCATCTGCAGGGATACCGGCGCTTCGTCCGTCGTCGACACTGAAGTCGAACGGTGCTGTCACCAGCTTGAAGTCGGTAGCGAGCTCCCGAACGCCAGCGAAGCGGTTCGTGAACTCCTGGCGCAGAGTGGCAAGAGCAGCGGCACACCCGTCGCGGTCGACATCTTCCGCAGCACAGGTGGCCAGGCGAGGGAAGTGGTCAAGCTGTCCTCGACCTACCTGGGCTTCCCACAGACGCAGCTTCACCTCGAAGGCAGTGACATGCGCATACATGTCGGGGAGCAGAAGATCCTTTCCTTGAAGTTTTGTATTTAGCGTGTTCAGGTGGGATGTCGGATGTCCGTGAGCAGTGCCAGGTCAGCCAGCCACCTGGAATCACTGAATTTATCGGCGTATGGCGAGCTTTTCTCATGTAGGAAGCTCGCGATGTCCTGCCTGAGCTCCCAAACACGGGACAGCATGGCGCCGCGACTCAGCCAGCGTACCTCACTGAAGAACAGCAGGTCACCGTGGTGCTATTGCAACTGAACTCGGATGAACCATAATCCTAAACTGGGCTTCCGTAGGGCTCGCGGGCCGGATTGCAATGCTGGCTGCCTATCCAGGCCGCGGGCCGGACACCGGAGCTTGGCGGGCCGCATCCGGCCCGCGGGCCGGACTTTGCCCGCCCCTGCACTAGAGTATGCCAGCATCAAGGAAAGTCCGACAGAACTGGAACCCATTTAACTTGTCCCGTCGCATCTTCAGTAAGGGACCACTCCTTAGCTTGTGACACTCCTTTCTCATTAGATGACTTTCAAATTATTGACATGGAAAGTTCTAGTTTTCAGTTGAGAATTTTGGAATCTTTATATATTCACAAAACAAAACCGACTCTCAATGATAAGAGTTCCGCTGTTAAACTTAACCCACGAGCCGCTGGGGGGG